GCCGCCACTTTTGAGTGTGACTTTGGTGCCATCCGGCCCATCCGCAATGCCGTTCTCTAGATAGAGGGTAATTATGGTGGTTACCCACAGCTTGTTCTGCATGAGAATCCAACTGAAGACGCAGCCGTCGGAGGACACAGAGTAGAAGTTGATCTCGCCGTCGACCATATCGGGTCCCCATTTGATCTGCCAAACGCATTCGGCGTGCTTACATTTAACTCCCCTAGAGATGTACATGGGCTCCTTGCAGCCATCGCGCAGATCATAGACGGCCACATTGCCATCGTACAGACCGACGACCACAAGGAACGGATAGTGTGGATGGATATCACAGCACATGACGCCGCAATCCGTTTGAACTAGAGTAGAAAAACATTTAGGGCTGAGGTCTGACGTGGAGCCCTATCAAACTCACTTATGTAGTCCGGGTACGAGGGGTTCTTCACGGTGAACAGGCACAGATAGCCCTCATTGGGCTGTTTTAGGAAATCATCTGCAAGGAATCGAATATCAGCAGGTGGGGAATTCCCAACAACAGCGGGTTTACTTACGTGAACCAAAGCACACGGCGAATAGATCGTAGTAGCACGGATTAAACGTAATATCGGTAACGTTCATTTTCTTGGTCTTTTCGTATTGGAACTTCCAAAGTGGCAGCAGGTTGCCCTCTCCTTCGCGATACTCATCGGCCGGATCCTCCCAATAGCGGTAGTCGTTGCCAATATCGTCGTATATATTCTGGTTTATCATACGCTCCAGAATCTGCCAGCATCTGACATACTTGCGGTTGAGCTGCTCCGCCAAGGCGGTTTTCTTTTTGAAGCTCTTTTTGGTCGAGCGTCTTCTGTTATCGCCATGGATGTGGCCCGTTCTCTGCTGCTCCTCGAAGTCCTCCATATAGGTGTCATAGATGACCCACTGCAGCACGTTGGCGCCGAACTGGGAACGAGGCGGCGGAATGGTTTGGGTGTCCACATTCTAGAAACACGTTACGGATTGTATTTAGAAATGATTCGATGGTTATTATGGTTCTACTTACACGCTTGGGATTGACATAGGTTAGAGTAGCTCGTTCACAATAGTTGAATTGATTGATCAGTTTACGCTTTTTGCCTGGAGCAGAAACTGCTTGCTGTACTCCGCCCTGCTCCTCGTCCTCGCCGGCAGCCTCGGTCTCGGTGGCGGCTTCGCCCTCTGTTGCCTTACCCTCCTCGTCCTCTTCTTCCTCGGCTTCCTCTTCCTCGGCGGCGATATGACCGTGTTTGCTACCCACATCGCTTTTCTCGTCCTCTTCGCCTTCGCCTTCCTCTTCGCCCTCCATTACAGTTTCCCGCTGCTCGACCACCGAATAGTTCGGCATGGGCAATGGGTAACCGATTTCATCGGATTCCTCAACCTGGATGCGCGCCTCTTCGGAGTCCACGTGCAGCGAATTTCCCGGAAAGCTTATTAAAGTCACAGTATTGCCCGGCATGGGTGCCGACACATATTCGCCTTCCTTGAAACTGAACACAACCAAATTACGTAGCACATTTGTATTTGTGGGCGTTAGCACCTTGGTGACCTCCTCCCCGAGCTCGGCCTCTGTCAGATCCAGTTGGTCATCCGGCTTGATCAATTGGCGCGATTTCATCCAAGCATCAAAGTCATCGGCATCGCCTCCGCCGCCGCCACCTTCTCCCTTGCTCTTGGATCCTCTGATCTATTATTTTTTAATAAAATAAATAATGGGTTAAGGTATGAATGGATCAAACGAAGTTAGCACGGCAAAGAGTCCAGTGTGAAGTGTGTGGGCATCATTATTGGAAGTGCGATAATGGTTAGCTTATCTGGGAGCGGGACATATGGAAAACCGGTCAAAGACTTACCTTCGATGACATAGGATACTTTACAGGAATCTAACATCAATTGTTCGAATTAAGGGTGCATCGATTTTAAGCTACGTGATTCGTGGGTTCGATATATCTACAATATAATCAAAATCCCACGGCATGCATATATTTCAGTTTTCAAATCGAAGCTACTTCAATACTTGCCAATTTACTCTTTCCAAAAGTCTACAACAACATTAATCTAAAGCTTATGTATAAGGAATTCAGAATTGATTTTATGGCTGTGCGAGGGAGATAATAAGATTCTTTATAATATTTGCGGTTGAGGATCGGACTCAGATATTACGTTTGATAATCTTGACTATTTGTTATTCTCATAAAAACTTAATTTACTTTGAACATGGTACATTTTGTTCAAAAAGGGTCCATCACAATAATTATATTATTTTTAACTTTTATTTATTCCATGAGTTATTTTGGAAAGGGCATTTGTGTTCGGCGAGCCGAGCTCTCGACTGGCTGGCGTGACATTTGCAGTTACCTCCTCGAGTAGCTGTTGCTCCTTCATGGTCTGTTCATCCTGGTCTTCCGGTAGACCCGCGGCACCGGTATCTGACATATTTGACGAGTAGTTACTTGTACAGTTGTACAAGCTAAACACTAATGGATCAGGTGCGAAGTAGACAGGTAATCTACGTAAAGATGCTATGCACTTATATACAGTATATGCAGCTGTCGATCAGTACGCACAATTTGACATACTGACAAACTGACTGACTGACTGACTGAATGAGAAGATCTACATACATAGTTGGAAAATAAGATTTGTATTTACAGAATTGTAGTCTAAGATTGTATTTACATTTTGTTTGGCTTGTTGCTGTTGCTGTACAACTAAACACAAAAAATATATATATTTACACACACACACACAATTTGCACTACTTGCGATAAAAGCAACTTGCATAAGGTCTAGTACAAAACTGCTCAGATACAGATAGATATATGGTTACAGATACAGATACAGATACAGATACTGATCGCTACGATTGAATACTCAAATACCGCCATGGCCTTGTTGGCAAGCTTCCACATCTCGGCAATCTGTACGGTCGGAGCACTAGTAGGAAATATCAAGGCACGAGACGTGCGAGGCCTGAACCTTTTGGAGGGCGCAACACGACTGAGACTTGGCCTGGGCCAACCTCGAGGCAGCCAGCTCCTGCGAAAGGTGACTGGAAACGAAGCTGATGACGTTCGCGAAACTTTCGACTTTCGACGCGCAGCCAAAAGTTGCCACGCTGACGTCTACGGCACGTCATCGTCCTGGGCAAGGATGCGATTGGAGCCGAGAGGGTGTTGACATTTCCGGCTGGGCGCGTAAATAAAAGGCAAATTGCACACAGCCCGATTAAAGTGGATCCCGACGTACTGTTGGGTGGACTTGGCGTCGCTTTCACTTAGCTATTTATTTTTATGTCGAGTCTAGAGTCGTATCAATGTCTGATTTATTGACTCTTTTTATTGCGTTGAGGCAGGGAGCTGACTTGACTTTGATTGCCAGCGACACTCAATCGTAGCGGGAGTACTCGGCTAGAAATTCTTGGATACAGTTGCATTTCTGCACTGATCTACCGTGCTGGAAAGCTGGTAGCGCCATCTCTTTTGGCGGCACGCACATGCCAACAGCCCACCTGACCTGCCAGCTCCAATCCCCCCGGCCTGACCCGCCCTGCGCCTGGGCCAAATTGCAAATTATGTTTCGTGACAAAGTTCCATCAGAGCGCCAATAACTTTTGCTGCGCTACGTTTCAGCGAACTTATTAAAAAGTAATTGCGAATTTTTAAATACGAAAATAGACTCCTGGTAACGAAGGACGACGGAATGCGCGACGCTGACAAGGATTTGCCCCAAGCCCAATCACAATGTTGACAGCTCGCAAAGTGTTCGCATGCACAGAGACCGGATGGACTCGGACCCGGACTCGTATGGAATTGTGCAAAGTGTTGTTTTTTTTTTGTTGGAATATTGGAATAATTGTTTACCTTCTTCTGCTTGCCCTCCTTGGGCTTAGCCACCTGCATGATGGAGCAGTATTCGTTTCCGGGTTACTCGGCTTTGATGTGGCTTGTGGATAGTTTTGTTTTTTTTGCGAAAAGTTTCTTCTAAACGTGTTTCTCTTTGTACTTATACACACTCATGTGGAGGCACTAATGTTTTCCTGACATTAACTGAACAAATTTTTCGTTTTTCACAGTCTAAACTTTACGTAATTGTGAAATAGAACAATGGAATTCGCCGCTTGCTTTTCCTTTGCCAGCGTCAACGTCTTTGTTTACTCGAGTTACTATAGAAATTTGCTAATGCTCCCAGCTCTACCAGCTCCCAGGCATTAGCTGCCATTTGCATATCGATTTGGCTGCGTAAAGCTATTCCTATTCTCTAACCTTTACTTGGGATACACAGCTCGTACGACTAATTTGACAGTCAACATTCATTCAGCAGAGCGAGACTAAGTGAAAAGCCAGGAAAAGCTCTTTAACTCACACAGGGGCTTGACATTGGGTCCAAGTTTATTTATAAAGTCATGTTGACAGTCTAGAGTGAAACACAATAATGATAATCGTTCCTTGCAAAGGTAATCGAAGAAGTAAGGGGTGTTTCCTATATAGTTAATCGACATGCCAAAATGTTAGCAAGGTGGATTGGCACTTATCTACCTAGAAGAAAGCTCAAGCCACGTAAATCCAGCTTACCCTGGAGGTATTTATAATTATTTGAATCTAGCCCGATCTAAAATATGGTTAATTTTTTCAATATTGTAAGCAGCTTACCTGTAGTTAGAGACATTCTGCATGCCATTATTTGAGCTCTTCTTGGCTTGATATATGTTTATAAGCCTTGGTTTTTAATTTCAACTTAATCTTTAAATAAAGAAACTAGATGAAGAGCCTGGATTCTTATACTTATTCACGCGTTAAGTAATCCCCATATAATATATTTATACGCAGCGAGCTGTGTCGAGAGAGTTCAATGTTCGCTTATAGAAGGCCATGGCTGGGGTCAGACAAACGAGAACTTTGGACGGGCAAGCCTCTCACCGGATCGCAGACACGAGCTGGGCTTAACCTTGAAGTTAAGATTCAAGAGAAGTTGAGTTTTGCATATAACACATCAATGATTTTATTGTAAAGAATGCTTTGTTATATTGTTTATACGAGTACATCAATATCAGTATAAATTGTATATTCTATGTGCTAGTAGGTGTGTATATTTATAAACAATTAAGTAGGGTGTAAAAGATCTATGTTTGCTGTCTCAGGCTCTTCACATATCGCACTGGCACTTCGGGCAGATAAACGCAGACGAAGAACATCATGGGTCCAAAGAGGAACATGCAGATCAGCCAATAAATCAAGCCAAAAGCTGTTAACGCGTCCATAAACACCGGAAAATGTGAGCCAGTCTCGATCAGACAACGTGAGTTTACAAATCGATTACAAATAAATAACTAATATCACTAAACAACGGGCTTGGAGATTGTGCAACAGGGCAAAACACGTCTGTCGCAGCGCCGATGTCTCTTTAATTAGATGTAGGTCACTTTAGACTAAATCCTAATCCTTATGGCTCCTTTGCTGTTGGGATTCCTTTAGGCTCGCCACCTGGAAGCAATATGGAGAGAAAGAGAGATTAGTTGGATCTGGATAAAATGAAGGCCCTCCCTCAAGCAGAATGAGTCAACATTTGGCTGATCTTGAAACTTACGCGCTGCACGTAATCCTGCCCGTTGGCCAACTGGTACTGCTCCAGCTGCCGTGCTGAATCATTCACTTTATACTTGGCTACCCAGCTGCTACCCAGGTGAGTTTATTTTTGGGTTATAACCCGCCTTCGACAAGCTATTCAAGCAACGCCTCACGCTCGTCGCAGCTAATTCTTAACTGAAGTGGAAATGAGTACGACGTAAAGCCCCTAAGCAATCCCCCCCCTCCCGCTGCTTTGCCCCTCTATGCGATTGTTTAGATGCCAAGTTCTCTAGTGTGTACGTCAGAAAAGCTTTTGCCACCGATTTGGAATTGTTCGTGCCGAAAGTTGGTTTTATAAACACGATACTGGTATTTTTCAATGACAACGACCAGATCGAAAAACTGGTTTACAAAAAGTGCTAGAGAACGTTTGCGGCTCGGTCCAATTAAATTGTTAAGTATTTGCTGTTTACGCTCTGATAACAAGTGTTAATTATAACTTAAAAGCGAGCTGATAAAAGTGAACCGAAATCAGAAATTTATTGCACAGTTATTTTATAAATTCTATCGATAAGCAAGTCAAGGCTGCACTCAATCTGTTGCCCCGTATTATTTGGACTATATCTAGAACTTACATGATATAGAAGTAATTATCGCTATCCTTGCGCTTGGCATCGCCGCGGTTCGGGTCTCTCCTGGCCGCATTCACCGAACCCGGATCCGAGTGTGCCTGCATGTTGCCGTTCCAGGTGGCCCAACGACGCGTAACGCCATTTTGCTGATTGGCCAGATTATTCTCTTTGTTTGGGTTGGCGAAAAACGACTTGACGCTATCCATGGCTATATAAATTGGAGGGGGAAGAGAGCACAAATGTCGAGCCTCCCGTAAGAAAACAAATTGATAAAGCTAAAAATATATCAAAAACGATTTGTTTTTTTTGTGAATTCGGGTTTTTGGTGGACTCGAGTGTTATGTATATTATATATGTATATTATGTATATATTATGTATGTATTATGTGTGCACATTGTTTTTTATGTTCCTTTCTTGTTTCCAAGTGTTTTGTGTTTTATTCTTTTTTGTGTGATAATGGCCTCGTATGATTGCTTTGAAGTGACTCAATTTGTGATAAAGTTTTGCAGCGTTTCGAAACGAATAACAAATCATAGGAAGGTAAATGAGTTGCAAATAATATTATATTGAGGCTCAAACTTTTGTGTAGGTAACTTTTTGATATGGAAGCGATAAGTATGCAATTTATGAATTTCGCTTCGCAGAGAAAATAAAATGCGTCTTAGTTTCAGCATGACAATTTTGAAGATTAGCGCTTCTATATATACTATATAGTCGATGTCGATTCATACATATTATCAATTAGCACTCGGGCGCTTAACAAGTTCAAAGCAGTTCACTTCGCACCACTGATAACAGTTTGACTACAAAAATCAGCGCCGAGCACGCGCCGCAATATTCAACAGCTATTTGATTTGTTAACAACAAAGCCAAAACGGACAACGTGGCACGATAAGATGGTCCTTAAGACGACGTTGCACTGTTGCTGATAAGGTCAGCTTTGGAGGGCGTCGTTCCACTAGGGCTTACACTAGTTGGAAATAACACAGAGGCCAAACGCGACCTACCTCAAGGCTGCCACGAGTTGTGCTGCGTTGTAATTGGTTGAAATGATTGATGGCCACTATTCATGGGGTGGGGGTAACGCCCTTTTCAACGCTTACAAATTGGCCTGACACAGTTCCAGCGCAGCTACTCGCGCACTTCCAATTTCAATTCCAATATCAATTTCAATTTCAATTCCAATTCCAATTCCAGCGTTCAGCTCGGAGCCTATGCGAACCGTTTTGCACAATGTCTGCGATCGCACTGAACGCAGCGCCGACAGCGCTGCTCGATGGTCGATGCCGGGCGCGCTCCGTAGGTTTAATCAATTGCGAAGGCGTCACAAACACAGCATTGAGTTTGTATATATACGTACGCACATACATGGGCATGTGCATACATATGTATATACAAGTGTGTGCGTTTGTGTGTGTGTGTGCACTAGCTGTACATTGCTGTAGATGCTCGAAGCGATTACATTATGTTTTGAATGCACATGGGTTTCTTCGACTCGCTGGCGACATCTGGCGTTGATGTTGTTGTTGTTGTTGTCTTTCGTTTATCTGCCTGGTCGAGGCAGTTTTTCTTGTTTGTTTTGATCGTTGTTTCTCACTGTTACACATACACACTCCATGGACACTTGCATACATATAAACAGGGTGTGTTTCGAGGCACAAATTGGAACAGTTTTAATGCGATGCGTTATACCAAAAAATGTGTTTCTTAATGTTACAGTCTTTTCAATTAAAAGTTTATTTTGAGAACCTGAACAATTCGCAAGGTAAAAGTTAAGCGAAGTCATTTCTGCAACAATGCATAAAATACAGTTAACCACGTTTTTTAGAAATCGATCGACTTAAATCGAAAGAAAGTATGACAATTAAACCAGCCCCTCTATTCATATACATATTCATATAACTACCTTAAAACTCACCTATGTAAATATTCATTATTATTCACAGTACAGTTTTACTTATGTATGGATTCTTTTGTTCGGCTATAGCTTAAGTTTAAATACAAAAGAGAATTGCAATTTTAAGTGTTTATCCATTTTTGTATGCATACGCGCATGTAATTACCTGTCACTTTGCCAGCTACGTACTTTGCTCCCACTTCCGCACTGCGAGTCTCTTTCTTTTCGCATTTGTTGTGCTCCGGCGTTCCGCGTGCCATTGATAAGGCGAATGCAATTTTACAACTAGCCGCAGCCACTCGTCGAGTGTTTGGACTTTGTACTTTACACTTTTTCTCATGCAAACGTACACATGTATTGGTGTATAAATAGTTGTGCTGATAAACGTGCGTGTGTATTGAACAAATGATGCATACTAATTTATGTAAGTATGTAAATAAAGTGTGTGTGTGTGTGTGTAAGTAAATAGCTGAACAGCACACATTAATAGAATTAAGTAGCCTTAAGTAAATAGCTCTTAAGCAACTAGTTTGAGTGTTATCGACTATAGATACCTTTTACCCATAACTGAAGTACCCTTCAGCTCAAACACACACACACACACACACACACACATACACACACATTTGTGTACACACTTTCAAGCAGCGGTTGCTTTATACAAAATGGCTTCTTGTCTTTGGGATGCCCTTCAGGGCAAGTTAACTAAATTACTTCTAGAACTTATTTATCTATCTGATCTGAATAACGTGAAGCAATCAAGCTTAGCATACTTAATTTTATAAAGTGAACGTGGTTCAAGTTGTTATAAGATATTTTTGTACAAAAACCTTGAATGTAATATAATATAGCAATCCGATTTCAGCGTCTTAAATCAAGAAGAGTCTAAATAAAACATAGGGCCAAAGTTGCTTGGAATCCATTAATTAACCTGACTACACTACACTTTATGCGGCCGAAGATGTCTTCTTCACTGTGTCACTCATTATGCGAAAGAATAAAATACTAAAAAAAAATATATATAGAGAATTATATAACAAATCTACTATACGCTTGATAGAGTATTCAATCTTCTTTCTTGATGTTTATATGGAAAAATGAATTGAATAAAATAGATTTGCATATGATATGAAGTTATGTATCCTAAAATCTCTGTTTAAGAAAATCCAAAAGCGCAAAAGAAGGGAACTTAAGGCCTAAAATAGGCGTAGTTCCCTAAATATTAAAATCTATAGGGAAACAATTATAAAGTTAATTATTATGTAAAATGTCACAAATAGCGAAATGAGTCTCTGAGCGTAACTAGCCCATAAATGTTAGGGCATGCATAGAAATAGACATATTGCATTGCATACTTCTAGGCTGACTAATAATATTTGACAAATCCCATTCTCATAGTTCGGCTTAGTTATTTTTACCAATTCGAAAAGCACGTGTAAATATACAATATAAGTTTAAATAAAACATCCAATTGTTACTAAAGGTTTTAAACAATTGTTTATTTATTACAATGTTCGCATTTCTCTTTTACAAATACTGCAAACGATTTTGCAGGACGCAGGACCTCCAACGCCGACTCTGTGATAAACTGTTGCAGCTTCTTCTGGAATCATCCGGCTCCTGCCCAGACCTCTTTGTCGGCTTTTCGGCTCCGATTCTGCGCAGCAGCAGAGCAGGAAACTGAGCGGAACCGCTTCGCCTTCCTCCAGAGTCTGTGGCAGATTCCTGCCACGCGTCTCGGGCAGAAAGAGACTGGCGAAGCCACCGACAATCAGCAGGGCGCCCATCACAATCAGGGGCAGCACCAGCATCTGCTGGCCCTGCACGCAGAATGGATTATTGCGTTAGCTTAAGAAGAGTACCATTTAGCTAATCTCAGTGAGCTCACCATGTGATTAATTACCGGTATAATAATGGGCCCCGTCATGGCCACCACGGAGCTGAAGCTCATGCCCAGGCCACGCACCACGGTCGGGTACAGCTCGGAGGCGAGCAGGGGCAACACGACGAATGCCGATGAGATGCCCATTTTGCCAATGCAGTACAGGAGCAGCATCACCTCCGCCTGTTGCTGGTACAGCACGGTGGCCACACAGGCCACTCCGCCGACCAGCATGGAAATGAAGAGAATCCAACGGCGTCCGAAGTAGCTAAGGCCAGGCCAGAGCAGCAGGTACGTGGGCAGCTCCACCGCGCCGGCCAGAAAGAAATTCCAGATCTCGTCGCCACCCAGAGCCGGAGCATAGTAGCTGAGGCCCACGTAGACGCTGGTGTTGGCGAACCAGATCAGGGTCACAATCAGCGTCTTGCGTCGCATATTTGTGCCACGGAAGAGGTCCAGAATGCCATAGTGCGTTGTTTCCCCGGGCTGCGTCCGGCTGAGTCGCTGCTGCAGCCGCTCCGCAAAGTCCCGAGAGACATGCATTCCGTTGACACGAGCCATGACCTTGAGGATTCTCACTGCCCGCTTCGTCTGGCCCACGGCTATCAGCCAACGTGGTGACTCGGGCAGCACGAAAAAGCAGGAGAAGAGCATTAGCAGCGGCAGCGATACGGCCAGGGTCAGATATCGCCAGTCACGCACCAAGTAGACCACGCCCTTTGAATACATAAATCTTAAATCTTCAATCTTCTCGCTAAGCGAGATTGTACCTACCGCGAGCAGGACCAGGCCCAGGGAATAGGCAATGTTGGAGACAATTGTGCAGAATACCCGACGCTCCGGTCCCACCAGTTCGATTGCCAGGACGTAGGGACTGGCCAATATGGCTGGCACGGTGAGGCCCACAACAAAGCGAAGACCCAGCCAGGAGTAGTAGTTCCAGGCAAAGGCGCTGGCCGCACAAGCCACTATTTCGAGCAGGAGATAGGCGTAGAAGGAGGGACGTCGACCCCACAGATCGACCAGATAGCCAAACACATAGTTTCCAATCAGACCACCCACGCCGAAGAGGACTAAAGCTAGGGTCACGTAGAAGCTCCTATCGCAGACCAGGTTCCACTACAAGCAAAAGAAGATTAACTAAGTTCTATCAGGGAGCATCTCGTACCTCTTGGACGACGGTGCTGGGATACATGGATCTATCGTAATGCCAGCCATGCTGACAGGCCACAACAGACTCCTCATCCACCTTTAACAACTTTGACGCCTGCTCCTTTTGCAGCTCATACGGCGTACGGTACTCCAGATAACGCACCTGCAATAAAGGTAAACATATCCAATCAAAAATATAAATACTCTTAATAAAGCAATGATATATGCTTATAAAGTGGCTTTACGAACTATCTAAACGGGGTATACTGCTTGTGCACTGCTTGATTTCACATTTCAACTGCTTTCACTTGAGATGTTCATAGCATACGCAAACGAGCATTTATGTATGCAAACTGATGTAAGCAGTGAATGTAAGTGATGTAAGCAGTGGATACATACTAGATTTATAGGCATTCATTATAAAGCTCTCTCATTTGTTTAATATTTCATCAAAAGATTAGACCGTCGCAAATACCTCGTAACATATATACACAAATCAATATATTATCATTTACAATCAAAACTGGAATAAAAGAGTCTCTCAAAAAGATATTGATTTCAGCTATCTGTCGACCATCGAATTATATTCTTAAGTAGGAAGTGTCCATTATCAAAGTTAAAAAATTCCTAATAATTGGAATAGTTGAGTTTTTAATATGTAAAAATTGTTACTTAACGAGTTACTAGGCTATCAATTTGGTTGGAAAGTCTATAAACTAAATTTGACCACTTTTTCACTGTAGAATATTCTCGTCAGTTTCTTTCAGGATCTCCTGATTTGTAAGGATTGGGTAATTATAATGCAAATGCATATGTACTTGTTATTTATGAAAATAGAAAAGATGAAGATTAATTCACGCACTATTTCACTGTAGTTGCGGACGAACATGGCACACTCAGCGTAGGCGCCGTGTCCGTCCCGTGGAATACTTAGGTTCTTGACGAGCTGTATGTAGTCCTGTGTCCATGGCTCCAGCTCCGGGATGCGGCACCAGTGCTTCGGCGTGGCTGCAATAAACAACTGACTGCAAGGCCATAAGGGTATTAGAAAAGGGGCTAATCCGGTCTAGAGACTTGTGGGCGTGGTCAGACCAACCTGTAGGCGTGAAAGGCGCACGGCAGCGCCGCCGGCAGCAGCACCGAGCATATGATAATCTTCTGATACAGACCGAATGCGCCCACCTCCTTAAGTACTTCATCGAAATCCATCGCGCCGTCCGAACCGAATCCGAATCAAATGCGCGCACAACTGATCGCGGGGCCTTGCGCATTTCCAGCCCAGATTTTGCCCAAGCGCTAAGCCATGGGCTCTACCGC